CTAAAGTTTCGTCGGAACGAAGTGTTGGAAAGTTAATTAACGACTGGAGGCGTAACAGTAGAAATTCCTAACATACAATTGTTGTAACGTCGTTCTCTTGTTTGGTAACAATAATTCCAAGTCCAGTTCAGATTTCACTAACAAATTAGCTTATTTCTTCCTTGATGTTTTTACAAGCTGCCTTCATTATTACAGTGTTTTAAAGAGTTCTAGGCCTACGTTCACAAATAACTTTCAAACGGAAACATCTCGGTAATGGTAGTATAACTAACATAAAAAAATAAATTTATTTGTACAACTTCACGGTTAATTGATCAAATTACTAAATATATACGCTAATTAACATTGATACAAAACTCCACTGCTTAAAGCAAAAACTATCAACTGAAAAGAACTACTTAATACTCATTCATAACACACTCAAAGCGAAACACCGATTCTCGTATTTATAATTTAGTTTCATTTGTTGATACTCCCCAAATTTCCTACATTTTCGTGAAGTAAAATTTAGAGCTTTCTAGACCTACTCCTACTAACTTACGTAATCTTAACGTCATGCGCCTTCTAGCTAATATCTGCATTTGAACATTGAAAATATAGCATACAACACAAAAGTTTTAATTATAATAATTTAAATATGGTCAAGGTAATTTGTTAATTGACCCTACATATTATTTTCTACAGAAGGATTAGGCTGAGAAGGCTATCTACTGTTTCATAGGATACTTGTATTGTATTCTAAATACTTTGACTTTGCTTTATGAATGTTACTGTAACAAAGATACCTCTAGATACTAGTGAGCAATTTCTTTATTGGTCAGTTACCTCTAGATATTACTGAGCCAGTTTCTTGATTGGCCAGTTACCTCTAGATATTACTGAACCAGCTTTTTGATTGGTCAGCTACAGAGGGTGTGTTTGTTTCAGAATTTTTGTACAAAGTTACACAAAAGGCTATCTGCGCATAGTCATCTCTAATATTTAACTAATAGACTAAAGGAAAGACAACTAGTTAACAGCACCCACCATCAACTCTTGAATTACTCATATATAATTGAATACTGAAATTTGTTCATCACCCTTATATTAAACTTGCGGAATATTCAGATAAGCTGAATTAATCTTCAAGCAGTTGAACAGATCCGCATAATAACTGAAGATTCTGTCAATATATTAATCATGAAATAATGCTAAATCTCATACTGACTGAGTCATGATGTCAAACAAATAATGAGACTAGGCATGAATGAAATTCAAGGTGAATAATTATTCTTAGTACACTAAACACAATCACAGTGTGTTTCTTGCTTTTCCTTATACGGGACTTATTGCATTCACTAGATTCTTGCAGCTGCTTCATCTTCAAGGTCTTATTCCAGACTGTCTAAATAAAATGTTCCTTAGTTTGTAAGAAATATTGAATTTACCCAGAATGACTAGAACTACCCACGTGCTGGTTATTTTTATTCCAATATAAGCGAGATCATAACTTTTAGGTATGACCTGAACAACCAATGAAGCAATATCCTCCATTTCAGGCGCATTAGTGTAAGCTACATTAGCTTCTCGAAAGTGGTGGGCTGTTACTGCACAGGCTGAATGGCACAAAGTGAAACTTGTACAAGCCATCTCTCATGCTAAAAGTAGTTTTAGGTCTGCACTCGTCATCCATTTCGACTTGCCAGGATCAGAATAGCGGGTCTAAAGTATTGAACCAACATGGCTCTTCCAGTGTGACGTCACTCCATTACCTTCATCTGTTTGAGGTAATGGAGAGACGTAAATGCGAGTTACTGCATTCAACAACCTAAAATCAATGCAAAACCTGACCATGCCTTCATTTTTCCTGACAACCAATACTGGAGATGAGAAAATACTATCTGAAGGCTTTATGATTCGGTCTCTTAACATTCACTGTACTTCAATATTGGCTACTTTCCTAGTGCTCCAGATATTTTTGTGCTGTTATGTAATTGTACGTGTGTCACCTGTACCTGTGCAATGTTGTATGACTGTTGTTTGACCCGATCACCCATATGATCTCACAAATACATCAGCATATTCTACCAACAAGTCACTGGATTGCTACCATTCACTGAGTTTAGATTTTCTCATTTATCTGCATAGTTTTCATCTAGTGATATCAGATGTGTTGCTATCCATGTACTTATTTTTGGGTATTACATAACAGATGCAACCTTAACATTAATACTAGCATCAGCTATTTACACTTTTTTCACCCACCCCCAGTTTCACAGTGATATGTCTGTGGACTTACAATGCTAGAAACATGGTTTCGATACCCGTGGTGAGCAGAGCACACATAGCCTATTGTGTAGCTTTGTCTTTAACTTCAAACAAACAAACACACTTTGCTCACCATGTCGATGACCATCCCAGCCAATAGCTGGATAACTGATCATCCATAAATTAAGAAAGTACTGAAATGTTATTCTACTTGGACCTATATTATGAGCTATTGTTGCTTGTTTTCTAGAGAGGAAAATATTATTTCATGCATGGGTTCTATATCATGTTACACAGAACCAACACACTAGACATTATACGTATTAAACCATAGAACACCACTTGTGTATATGGGAGTAAAGAAACTTCCTCTCTCACATATACCCATGAATTTCACTGTTCCTGGAGTTGGTCTGGCTGACACTAAATAAATATACCATGAGACTATAGTTCATAAGTTGTACAGGTGAAACTAACTGGTAAATTGTGCAGTACATTCATTCCAAGGATGACAATGCCAAAGCCGAGACCAACAACAACTACTTTCATTCTGCAACCAAAACCTTCTGGATATAGTTGGCGGATGACCTATCCATCCATATCTATATATCTACATTTGCAATAACATTGTATCTACAGGCCCAAGTGGTGGTTTCACTCAGAGCACCTGATACACTACCTACAAGAGCTATCAATGTTCTGTCTGCTCCTGTATCAACCAGGGATTCTATCTCTTGTTATTGTACTCTCACAGGCACATACAAAGACCCATTAAATCCCGAGAAAGCTGAACTGATCACTACACGTTATGGTGCAAGTTGTTTATTGAATTTCCACTAGTCAGTAGCCAGGCCCGACTTGGACTCCCCTAATTTCCTGAAAGCTGTAGCAACAGTATTAATTGCTTGGTACTGGCTCTCCTGTACTTATTGCACCATCAGCCAAAACAGATAGATTTGTCTA